GGGGGGGGATGAGGGGAGAGACCGGAGGCCAGTGGTTTCATCATTCCTTCGCACACCGCGATAGCCTAACGTTTTTGCACCGAAACCCCACCACGAACGTTGCCACCGCCGGGACCGCAGCGGACAACTGGATCAAAAGACGTACGTCAAGGAACTAGCCACGGCCGCGGAATCAGCAGCGGGTACAGCTGGAGGGACAACAAAGATGTCGAACAAACGGACATGGCATCCATCGCCCAACATGCACGCGCCACCCCCCCCCTCCTGTGACCCCGCTACACCCTCTCACTCCCCACCCATGCCGTAGGGAGCAACACGGACAGGTCATGCATGCTACTCTATTTAACCACATAAGATACGTGAAATATGCTTCAGACCATTGCATTGATACATGTATCCGCGCTCTAGTTTAGGCCCCTCTGCTCGTTGCACCACTCTGACGGCACAGCCCGCGCTTCGGAGCAGTGCTGTCCTCTTTCCTCCGGTGCCTTGCCTTCAGCGTTCGTGGGAGAATGCTTCAGAAACGCACTGTTCCCTCCAACATGGACGAAGAGTTTTGTCTACTCGCGACAAGGGGTTAGCTGACCAGGAGGGCCTCCAGCAGCAAAAACCGGACACATACGTAGCACAGATTTCCTCGGCATCACTTTTTTGTGTAGTATGAAGAAGGTCGTACGGCTAAAAACTCCACCCTTCGACGTGAATACGCCACGCACACGAACAACTCGCTCGACAAGCCACAGCTACTGAGAGATGAAACCGGGAATCCGAAGTTCTAACCTTGCCCTCACCTGGGCATCTCCTATCGACACGTCCTTCGCCCCAAACTCTACCCCGATAGTCATGTCGTGCGCATCGCGGAACTGTCGCTCTGTGAACTGCAACAGGATCGCGCTCTTCCCCACCGCTACGAGACGCGAGCACGAGCGAGAGCAACAGCGGCCGGTCAAACGCAGGGCTTGTCAGATCGGTCGCGGTGACACCGTTTCAAGATCTTTTCGCCTGCCATAAAGAAGAGGCTATCGAGTTGTACCAACAGACTCAAAAGAGACGGGGTGAACACACATGAACGTCAGCACCAAGACCACACGGTCTTCAGCGTCGGAAAAACCAAACAGCAGTTCAGGTTGTTGTGATCAGGAACGGCTACTGTGGGGGTGGGGGGGAAGGGGGTCACGTAGACCGTAGACAGAGAGACGGTCAGACACACCCACATCACTCGCGCTCGTCGGGGCATTGCACGTGCCTTTCGCCGGGATGGAGGTTATTCTTGCCATTCCGCGAACGAAACCACCCGGGGCGGGAAAAATGTAGCACGCCCAGGGCGCTTCTACTGGGATGTTTCCTTGCTGCACCAGGCGGAGTCTGCTATTTAGGGTTCCTCAGCAGTGTTTCTTCGACTGTCACCTGCTCAATATCTTCAACCGCCCCATTGAATGTTCTGGTTTCCACAACCATTTTCCCGCCACCACCTGAAGGTTCGCTAGTGTACATTCCAAACAGCGATAAAAATACCTTAGGCAGGAACCGCAGGAGGGGGTCCAGCCCCCCCCTCCTATGTAACCCCGGTTGGGTCGTCTAGCTAGTAGAAGTGGAGGATAGGGGCCTGAGGGGCAGACGACAGAGTCCATTGATGGAGGAAAAAAATCTAAACATCACTTCGAGTTGCGAAGCCGCTAATCTACCCTACCCCCCATGGCAAGAAAACACGCGTCAGCACTGGATACTCCCCCGACACTTGGCGCTGTGAACTACATGCAACAACTAGAGCACACAGCAGTCACCCGTCGAAAGTTCGGCAAAGCCGATGTCGGAATTTGGCACCCCGTCTGTGTCTCGATCTCATCGCCCACTCTCATACCGCGACTGGGGGGGGCGGCGGGGGTGTCTCACTTCCACTTGACCGAAAATATACACAACCTCCGGAAACAAAAATTCAAATTTCCGGTTGGGTCGGGGTTGTCTTCATTTGTGATACGGCATCCAACAAGAGCAGAAGAAATTCTGTCGGCTCGTACTGGTACTTTCTGGTACGCCCCCCCCCAAAAAATACGGTAGATACCTCTACATGCTGGGAGATGGAAGGCATATCTTCTCATCATGCGCCTTGGGGTATGGAATGCTTCTGTGATTCTTCATCATGTACTTCGGCTCTCTATTAAGAGATACCTTGACCACGAACTTTGAACTAGTATTTTCTGGACCGCAGAACGAAGCGGACAGAGCAAAAACATACCGGTACTCTAGTACCCCGTTTGGTGCGCCCAAAAACACATGAAGTACACACGTAAGCACGCCTGTCCCGAAAACGTTGAATGGCAGTACGATACGTCCGTACATGGTAACATCCTACGTGCAACGTAACCAGGTACATCATTACATGTATGCGTGGCAAGAGCGATGAAGCCTCGAAACTTTACCGGGACAACATTAAATATTTGTCTGAACCGATACTGCGTGCACGCCGGAAATAAATGTCTGATTTGTTTGACAGCCATGACTCGCCAGTGGCAGATGGAAACAACCTTGTTAGTGATTGTGGTGTGCGCGGGTCCTGTCCGCCATTTCATCGGGTATTCGGAACACCTTGTGAGCCCGCTCAAGTTTCGGCGTGCCGCCCGTGTTTTCGCCTGTTCACTGACAACGGGCTGCATCACGATCATGCAATGCTCTCAGAATGCGACCGCCGCCCTCAGCTGCTGATTGCGAGTGTCTGTGGGGGGTCTCTACGACGCATCGATCTTTTCAGAAAATAACAGAGACGAGCCGCGTGCCTATGTTTGTGGCAAGTGGTAATGGAGTCGAAAAGTGATCCCTTTTCTTCAAGAATTCAGTTGCAGAGACAGAGGAAGAGCCCGTCAACTTCCGATGACTACCGCTGCCTCAAGGGGGCAGGGAGAGGGGGCATTCGGGAAGAAATAAAGAAACACGATAAATCAAAGTTGCGGCTCACCGGTGTTGCCGATAATGATGTACTTGAACAGGAGGGTTGGCATGGCTCAGCAGAAGTGCCGCCTCAAGGCCCGGATGGTCCTCCTTCCCACAACCACAGCTCCTGCAATCGACTGAACCGCGGCTCGCCCAAGCACCGTCCAAGACTTCCACAGCAAGCGGGTCAATGCCACCTGGTTGGAGCTACACAGCCAGCAGTGCCTCCAGCGGCGGGCCGCGGTGGATAGCAGCAGCTCTCAGGGACGCGGGAGGTCGACAAGGGTGGGGTGTTTTGAGCGTTGATTGTGTGCGATCTGGAAAAGAGATCGGTGCCTTAGCAGCACAGGCTCCTTTGGTCCGCTGCTTCCTCCCTGCTTGATCAGATGAGGAGGTAAATGCTCCACAGACTTGCTGCGGTAGATCCAACGGGTGGTCCTGGGAGGAGGGAAGACGGAGAGGTGGTATGTCTTCCGTTTACTTCCATGCGCCCGCCTACCGTCGACGGGGATCTGCTACTGGTATTTTCGGCATTTTGGGTAGGGGTATGCACCTTTCGGGGGTATGCACCAAAATGTGGGGGCTCCGCGCTGCCCAACATGAGCCAACCACCACACACGGCGAACTTGATGATGCCTATTTCCCAACGGTCTCAAATCTGGTTTTATGGGTTCGGCAAGCGACACACAGCAGTTGTCGCTCTTCGACAGCAAGCTGGTTATTTTCCACCCGTCCTTGCCAGTGGCGGAGAGAATGACGCAGCCAGTGTCTTACATCCAGCGACGACACAGGATATACGTTATCAGACCTCCTTGCCTTCTTTTCGTCTCCCTTTCTGTCGGACTTGAATCTTGAATCTCGTTCTTTGCGCCTGAAACATCACAAGACATGAGACACAGATGATACATATGCGGCGAACGTGAGAGAAGGGGGTCCCTCCCCTATCATCGTGGCACATTCGCACGGAGAGAGCGTATATTTCCCGTTGTCTTCAAACATTATCAGCAATGTCGAGGATGGATGTAGAATATATTCTTTATCATGTAGACTTGACTACCGTATATGACACAAGATAACACACCCTCTGATCCAATTTTCAAAGCTCGATTATGCGACAACGAAGAGGATACATAAATGAAACAATACATTTTCAGAAAGCTCTAGACGAGAGAGCTTCAACTCCACCGTTTTCCGCGCTGTAACTCTTGCTGCTGTCGAGAAATCGAGAAATTAAAAATCGGTCCAGGGGGTGTGTTATCTCGTGTCATTTACCTTACCCTTGTACAGATGGCCCTCGCACTTGAGAACTTATAATGCAGTGAAGAAATGCAGCCTCGAAAAATTCAAAATTTAAAAACTTGACCATAAAAACACGTGCTCAGTTCCGACGTGGTATTATGAACAAGAACCCGTATTTGTGGTGTAACAACGCGCTTACGGATACGAACAGACCCCCAAAAAGTGGCAGCTGCAAGATAAGAACTCATGAAGGTGGTGAGGGGTGACTCACGGACACCCCACCCACCGGGAGTTCCAAATCACTGACGAGGAGGGAGATCTCCGTTTCAAATAAATACCGGTGCGGAGGGGAGGGGTATGGAGTTGCCCTCTCATATTGCGTATTTTAGTGGTTAGACCGTTGACCACGCGTCCTCCAGAGGACGGAGTAGTATCGTTCCAAAGACCGATGGCCAATGGTTCCCTCCTACGTTACCAAAGAAAGGGGTCTCAAAACCTTTTCCCTAGCCTATCTATCCTATCGATGTCACTTCCCGCCTCTTTAACCCACGTTCTATGTCCCAGTACAGCTACCGTCCTCTCTCCTAGCTGGTATTCCATGCCTCAAATATCTCCGTGTGTCTTCCTTCGACTGTCCCAAGGCTCAGCCACGTAAAATCTCCTCTCCTTGTACAACAGGCATTCGCAACTACATGAACCCGGGTGTTCGCACTCGGAGCCGCGTTCACGTTTTACCTTGGTCGGTGCGGAGGGGGATGGGGGGGTAGGTACTTCGCTTTATTGTGCAAGGCATACCCCTCGTCGCGTGTCATTGGGGTGCCTGCCACGCTGCGTGCCATGCACGAGGGCCATGTCTTTACCCCTTGAATTATTGAAAGGGCTCGGCCAAGCTGTCAAAAAAAGTTGAAAGGAGGTGTAATTCTTGATCGATACATAGAGGTCATCAATGTCATTGCTGGCAACTGCCCACGAATTCAGACTGGGAGGCCATCGAGTAGACGCGGGGGCGAAAAAAGCACTCCGACACCTCTTCCTTCGTCTTACCCACCGGTTTTCGAATTCAAGCATCTGTTTCGGTTGCTCTTGGCAGTTCGTTGCTGCGTGTGGAGTACTCGTAAAACTGAGCATGGGCTGTTTTGGTGAGCTGATCACTCGGTCGTCTCAGGAGCGTACCCGCCATCTTTTCCAACTTCCTTGTGCATTTCGAGCTATATGTAGATCAAAGCGCCGCATGAATGCCGTTGGACAAGCACAGTAGAGATGCGGGTGAGGTGGTAGGGTCGTGGGCGTTGCTTGGGGGGAGCGCGCCGTAGAGCAGGGAGGAGCTCCAGCATTCGAAGAACAGGGCGCCATGTAGTAGATAGAGCGGGGAGGACAAACACGCCGAACGTGACCCTTGTGGACCTCAACGTGTTTGCTCAGATGGGTAATTATTGCAGGCGATACCACGTCTGTATTTAACTTTGCCCTATCGTGATCTGCGGTACGTCGATTCCAGAGGTCTCTGTTGAGCACGTTCTATTACAATACTCTGTTTTATGCATGTGAACACGCTGCTCTCAAGTGTCAGGCTGGAATCACCCAGAAAAAAATAATGTCTTTGGAATGGGGCCCTCGGCGTAGAATAAGAACAAGAACCCCGTGTATCATACGGATATGCCTGCTCGAAATAAGAACTTTGACAGTAAGAACAGGTGCTCAATTTGAGGCAGCCAATAAGCATCGAGCCTTGGCCAATATAAGCGGTTCTTAAGTGCGGGCGCCATCTGTATGCAAAGCGAGAAAGGTATGCCCGGTGGTACCGAAGTCTCATGAATTCGTCCAAATGCAACTCTTTGGGATATTTTCTTGCCCCGCTGGCTGTATTTTCTGCCCTAGTTGGTCCTCCTTTCGGGGGTTGCGAAGAAGGTGTACCGATTGATGCTGGTCAATAAATGTCGTCAATCGACGAATACCTTGCGAGTCGGGTCCTCCTTAACTAGAGTTCTCCACCCACAGAGTTCACCCTCAACTAGGAACCTCCTACGGCCCGGACGGGTAATTCGATGAAGTGTCACAAGGTACTTTGTAGGATCGGCTCCATCCAGAGTGCATGCTCTCAGGACTGACACATATTTTGTCGTCCGTCCGTCCATCGGAAAATGTCCAAGTCAGGAGAAAAATGTGCATGGCATGCACCCAAGGAGAACCAAAACTACAGTAGTATCCTGCCGCTGACGCCATATAATGTATGCGAAGGTGTACCGATTCTGGTAAATGTCAATCGACGGATACCCTGCGAATCGGGTCCTCTTCAACAGGCAGGGTGCACAGAAGGTGTATGGATCCTTCTGGTAAAGTGGGGCGGACTGCTAGCTAAATAGCATAGAACGTGGTATCATCTACATGCATACCTGTACATCCCCTGCCTATGTACCTTGTTTGCAACAACGTTTTTCTCCCGAGTTCCCTTGTTTGTGTGTTTCTTGCGCGAGTGGCGGGAATATCTTCGATCGAGTGTTTCTCGCGGAACAAGGCAAAATAAGCTCTCACCGGGGTTTAAGACTGAATAGAAAACTTGTCTCTTCGCACGCAAGTAATTTGACATCGTGTGCAAATAGTACTCTCCTTGTTACCCATGGTGAAGGGGACAGGCGCTGGTCTCCCAGACAGACAGGGTTTTGGACCGAGTATCTCAACTTCAAGTATACCCAGAGACAGAAAAGCACGCACACAAACATTTGCTCCACCTTCCTATAGGACACAAGCATGTCCGCATTTTACGTATGCATCGCGTCTTTCTTGAGGGAAAAAAATCTATGAACAACGAAAGTAATTCACAATCAGCTGCACCTGGAGATAGGGTTTTTGCCGGTATCTTTGTCTTTCGGCACAACCACCCCTACATCCAAATATGCGGTACTATGCACCTTGGCGGTGAAAAGAATGGGCGGAGTGCCGCGCGCAGAACATTTGATCTGTTCGTACCAATTTGGTAACCAGAACAGGAACAGGAAGTCCCGGGTCCGCGACAAGTGACAAACTCCAGAGTCACGAGAAAAAAACGAACCAACTTCCCCGCATTATCTCTTTCATACCTACGACGATTCAATCCCACTTCACAAACCCCAGATATTCTTCCTCGAATCTTACACGTTTCCGACAAAGTTTCTTGGCGAGTAAGCGCGGCCTTTCTTTGTGTCTGGAATTTTCCATTCCAGTTTTCTGCTTTTGCTCGTTGTGAGCACAGAATTTTCGCCGTTTGTGCACCTAGTCTTGAGGTTTGCTTGAGAGGACAAGCATAGTCTAGAAATTACGAAATCAGAAGAAAATGTCAACATCGAACACGACTGCATCGCCATCAACCATTGAGATATTAATGCGGGAATGCTCGAGCCAACTTCTCTGACACCGCCGCAATTCTATCACGAGCAGCCTCATACCGCAGCCTCCGAAACACCAACCAGACACACCGAAATAAGCAACGTATCCAAATTGCCGCATGGGTGGTTGCGGATGCGAATGCTTCACAAACCTCTGGGGAACCATCTCTCATCGCGAAGTGTCCCGTTAAGATCAACGCTGTGGCTACCAATTCCCCACCCACATGCCTGCCTCCAAACAAAATAAGCCGCATACGGTGAAGTTGTGGGGGAGACCATGGCAACGTAACATCCAAAAACGAACAGCATGCGGCATACAGTGATGAGCATCGCGAGTGGAAACTGCTTGCGTATTTCAAGCCACAAATATTGAGGTACTTGATCGCAAACCTTTCTACCAATCCACCTACGTAGCCGTTGCCGGCGTGTACACCAACCGTGGCGGACACAGATCAACCACGGTCGCGGAGCAGTTCCCCGGACAGTGCAAGGGTTTGATTGAAACAAGGCTCAATTTCAGAAAACCTCTGCTTGGCATATCCGTTGAACCGTCCTGAGTGGTGTGCAGCAGCCGGGAATTAAAAAAAAACTGGGGGCGATAGAGGAACTCAGAGAGTCTCGAGGAAAACAAGACAAGATTGGAAGACCTTGGAATAGACAGAACAACGAAACATCCCGGATTTGTGAAAAAAAAAACAACGCGAGCGGGATGTTCAATAGCTAGTGTCTTGGTAATCACAGCTTGATGAAAACAAGGTTGCACGAAAACCGGGAAATTTCGTCAGGCCGTCAAAGGTACACACGCGAACGAAGGTTGGAATTCATCATGGATCTTTGACCCATCTCGGGGCTCGAACGGGGAAAACAAAAACACCGATCCCAATTCCAACCAAAACCCACTGACGCCCCTGACCAGCTGCTCTCGCCGTAAGGAAGAGGGGGTCACAGGAGGGGCTCATGTTGAGGACTCGAAACAGAATGGTCGCAACCTACCTGGCACGACGTCGCTTTTCTTATGGAGGCAGATGACACTTCGATCAACACATGACTCGTGAGCCATGGAATGCCATGAAACGGACACAACAGAAGACTGGTCAATGGTCGGCCAGCACGAAAACGATGAAGACATTTCGAACTGAAGTTCAAAAAGGTTTCCATAACACCATTGTGTCAAAACTCTGACTTTCTTTTTTCCTCATCGAGTCTCAACAGAAGTGCTTTCCAAAATAGTTATGCCCCCGGCACTCTGCCATCCCACCAGTCTATACTACTGGCACCTAATCAATACTTCGTCCCGTCTCGACAACCGTGCTTGGGATGGCTCCGACCGTCGCGTCGTCGTCTTCGGTTCGGATACCGCTGACCCGGAGCTCTTCGGTTCTCGAAGCTCTGCTTTCGGGGCCTTCTTCTCCGTCTTCGAGGCATATGTTCTCGGTATCATCGTCAGTAGCGAAAGAATTGCCCGAGTAGCTGTCATCACCCACAATAGACGTTGTCCCACTTGGCTCTTTCACCTCGCTGTTCCTGGTAGCAGACGTTCCTGGCCCGCGTTGGGTTTCCCCCCTCTCGAGGCTCTCTGCTTCACCCCCCCTCCTACCTCCCGCGGCACTCTTACTGTTGCCGCGTCCACGACAAGCCCCAATTCGGCCGCGACATACATTGCCGCTCGTATCGCGGGGTTCTCGGTTGCAGTTCGCGCCCCTGACCCCAGGTTTTTCCGTAACACAGTTTCTGCTACCTGCCCGGTCATTACGATGCCGTCTCGGAGGACGGGAGACCAATGCCGACTGTTCAGCGCTGCTTGCAGCATTTTTCGCGCTGACTATCTTCGCCCATTGGAGGGCCTTAGAGCCACTCTCAGGGCCCGAGGTGGTGGCGCCACCGATACGTCTCGGGCCCCCGCCCCGTCCTCGGCGGGCGACGCCTGCCGGTGCTAGTGCTCGTGGCCGTGCAGAGTGTGAAACACGAGGGGCACGCGCCGTAGGAGAGTGCGACTGCTGCTGACTATGTTCACGCATGGGTGTTGCTGACTGTCGAGGATCACCGCGGCGGTAGAAACGCACGAGGGGAGGGGGGTGATGAAACTTTGCAATTGATAACGTTTGAGCAATTAGAACGTTCGTCGTGCACTATCACTGAAAGCAATGCATGTGGGTTCGATAACCGGGAAAGGATTACATTGCCGATTCCCAGTATTGGGATGGCACACTATTTACCACTACCATGGAATACGGATCGATGATGTTCAATCACACGAACTAACGGAGAGGTAGACATTGGTGTGGAAAGGCAGCTAAGGATGTCAATATTGGCCAGAAGACGACGTATCGAGACATTCCCACGTACCGATGTTTCTTGGTCTTTTGCAGTGACTATTCTACATTTTTGGAGGAAAAACGATCACTTCGGAGCACAACCTTCGACTCAAGCGAGTTACCGTGCGCAAGTATAAATATCCCCCCGTACGACCGTGTGACCAGGATGTAGGTGTCGACATTTCACTGCTGAGAACCTTTTACGCATATCGACAACGAGTCACCTTGGCAGATCGGGCATTGCCAGCACGCCTCGGCGATACGCCCCCGCCCCCAGGGTCTCCTGTTCCGGTGCCACTGTACGCGGCCAAGAGACGGCGGCTGCGGAACGCAATATTAGATCGGTCGTAGAAGTTCCACCCAGTGATACCCATGTTGTCTTTGCAGCCACAATGGTGTTCTGGCTGATGTTCCTGCTGCCGGTGCCGCTGCCGTTGTTGCTTGTGTTCGTGCCGTGTTTGTATGTGTCTTTCACGTTCGTCTTGCCAAGTATTCATTGCTTTAGTTTCACCGGCACCGACGCATTCATAAGAAGAATCGAAGCCATCATCCGGCCCAACACAATCTTCGTTACTACCATCACCACCGCCACTACCACCATCATCGCCACCGCTACCACCATCTGCATCACTTCCACACGAGGTGTGCCGTAGGGCGCTGCTGGTAATGGTTTCATTCACCCTACCCTCGTTGCTGTTGCGAATAAAAGTCTCAGTGGTCGATTTGCCGTTGCTCGGCGTTGTCATCCGCGCCTCCTCATAGTACTTAGTCGCAAAGCTGAACCCACCGGGCGGTTGGGTCGCGCTCACGATCTTGCGCGGAGAGTGTTGGAATGCCTTTACGAAAATAGGAGGCAACGGTTAACCCATTGTCAGATTTATCGTGTGAAACACGTATCCAGGCAAAGCACGACCAATGAAAATGGTTGACTTATTTGTTCTGCACTCACTGCATTGAGCCCCCGTCGTCCACGGAAACATTCCCAACTCCATGATGCAAAGCAAAAACCGAACCAGAAATACAGGCTCCTGTCCCGTAAAAGACTTCTAACTCAAGGGCTACTAAGGTTGTGCCTCGTTGTAATATTGTCTCTCAAAACGCTGTACCTGCTGTCTGGGCGATAGGCCATCAGTTGTGCTTGGTCGATTGCCGAGTTTTTTACCGAGCGGTCGCTTGGGAGCATGTCCAAACTGCTTTATGGGCACCTCGCCCATGCGGCTTGGGCCGCCCCCGAAGCAGTTCTGCAAGCGTGTTCGGGTCTGAGAGGGTTCTGATGATGCTGATGCGAATCGTCGTTGGAAAGCTTTGATGTCTTCCGAAACTCGAGCTTTGCGTTGGCTATGGTAGGACAAGGGTTTGCAAGGCGATTCCAGAACACGTCGGTGATTGAGAGGTGCAATTCAGACTGAAGCCGGGGATGATGAGGTCAGCGTTGCTCGTATCCAGCGCTGCCGCGACTAAAAAAACAAGACAAGAATAGCGTCGTGTACGATCGTAGAATTCTCAATGTGGACCAGGCCGTTGCGCGAAGCATCGATCCTAGCATGCTATCATTGATACACCTGTTGTGGAATCGACGTCAGACTCGGGAAACGTGAGCAACATTGCTGGCGAAAAAACACCCTGCTGGTCGAGCCGTCTCGGGTTTGAGGGACGACAATTTCATCACCAGGTACAAAACGCGGTAGCAGTGACCCTCGTCCTCACCGTTCTGACAGGGACGGGGCGGAGGACGTGACCCCCAGGCGGGCGGCTAGCTGACTCATTTTTCTCTTCGCCGCATCATTCATCTCACGGACTCGCAAATCTGTTGGAGCGTATTTGTTCAGGAAATTTGTGAAACTTAGGCTGAGTCGACAAGGGCGAATGGGTGTTGAAATCTTGATTTCTGTCAGCCATGATATCCGCCCGACGGGTTCACTTGTTCTCCGCTTCGCATTTAACGTTATATCGTGCCGATTTTCAGCCATAACAAACCGCAAAGCCACGTTGCTCAACCACATTCTCCTTCCTCCGACAATAAACGGCAACAAGCATCTGGGCACCCACCCGAAGCGCCGGCGATTTCGAGGGCGCACTCTCGGCAGACACTGACTCTTCGCAACCGAAGCCTGACATCTTCATTGCAACGCACTGAGATTGTTTCCGCGCGGACTCCTGGGTGGAGTCTATTGAGCACCCGAAAACATCGCTTGACTCCGGCCCGGGCGATTGTTCTTTTCCCTGTGACTTCCGTTGAAAGGTCTGCAGGGTGGGATTCACGTTATTCTCGTTGAACATTCTGACACATTGGAGGAGACTCATTACTAGTGTCGCTCATGCGGCGTCCGAAATAGCTACTACGAACAACGGTGACGACATCGTTTCGGGGTCGGATGCATCACGGTGCGCGATAGCTCGATGTGTGGGATGCACCACCGCCGTCTACGTTTGTCGCTGAAAGTTGTGCCAAAGCCATCATGCAGCACGTGTGCGCAACGAGTAAGATTTCCCGCGCTCTCACCGTTGTTGGCAATCGACCCACAGTCGCCATTTCGTGCAGCGTGGCCACCGCGGAGTGTTCCAGACCAAGTACAGACATCCACAACTACGCCGAGGCTTGTGTAGACTGTGTGGTCGAGTGGAGGGAACATAGTGGACGCCAAGCCATGCAGCGATGGTGCCTGTGACGAGTATTCTTCCCCTGCAGCCACCTTATCGTTGCCGGTGCATTCTCCCAAGTTCGCCACCGCATCGTTGCAATTCGTGCTTGGACAACACATTGCAGGGCCCGTGTTCTGCGTCATTACTGGGTGGCTAGGGGCTATTCCGCGGACTTGTGTATCCCCATGCATCGTGCTCGAGCCGTTGTTATTGCAACGAACACCACCTCGTATGCCGGAGCGACCGCATCCAGGGCATACGAGCCGGTGGAGTACAGGTCTCCCGTACTCTTGCAGCGCCCCCGGCCCTCCTTCACTTTTCTCTCGATTTGGGCTTATTGTGGTCTCGACGGTAGGTTCTACTCCCATCTCAATCACGTGTTGTAACCGGGCCTGGTGGTCGAGTCCTAAGGAGTCATGGATGGGCAGTGTTGCGCTACCCGTGCCACTTTGGCACAGCAGTGGTTCATTCGCGTCGATTCCAAGTGAAGGGCTCTGACCTGCTCCGATGGGGATATGAACAGATCAAACCATGTATGGCACGCTTGTCAATGTGCGGCATGGTTGGTGGCCTTCAAGGGGTCGTGGTGCATGCGTTTATGCCACACAATCCCCATGCTGCCTTTTTTGCCACATTGTAGCGGAAACTAAGACTCAATATATTCCCGATATGAAGGATGGGGTTCAAACCACGTAGAACTGCAGCCAGGTGGGCATCTGGGCATCCGGGCATCTGGGCTTAAGAACCGAGTATACTTGAAAAAACTCGTATGCCGGGAGAACATGGTCATGATTTTCAGATCCCTTCGGGACAAGTTGCAACATCGAGGTTGGTGCTTTTCTCGTTGCATGTGACAGTTTGCAAAGGCGAGAGCGCTTTTGTTGGCGGTTATCGGTAAAACTGTAGTTGGTCTTACCCCATCGGGAGAAGAACATCAAATAAGTCCGCCCGTCCTGCCCCTGACGGAAGTAACTCGTCGCCAACTTCGGCCGGAATTCTCCTCTCGTCACCTAGGTGTGGTTCATATTACTACAAACTCGGGGGGTCGTCGTGCGATTTTTCAAGGCATCTGTCGCCGTTGACAATTTTTTCTAGCGGATACCCCATCTGTCATTGTTTTGGTACTCGAGGCATCTACTTGACGTGCCACTAGCAATCCGTACTTAGAACGCGCAATGTTTTCGCCATCTACCTGGAGAACCTCGGTGCACCATCTTACGCTGTGCCCTAACCGGTTATTTCGGCTATTGCACCTAAGACGACGGCTGCGCACTGATGGCCTTCAATCTGCTGTCACACACCTGCGAGACATGGTCCAATGCTGAGGTGCATGCCTCTACGACTGTCTGCCTCAGGGCGGGGCTCTTAATCGGCTCCCTCACGCTTCGAGGCCACAGCCCCCCCCTGCTGGAGGGGGGTGGTTCCTCGAATGTCACGCACCTGAAAAATTATAGTAGCAGATAGGGAGTGATGCCGTCCTCCGGTTTCTCAGTATATACTGCGTAAAGAAGTGCCCACGTCCTGTAGCGGAATGCTAACATCTATGCGTGTTATAGTTGCCTACCACCTTGTCGCAAAATCGGTGCCATTACAAGTTTCGATGTGCACGAACGTGGTCTTTGTACGCCCAAACAACCGTTGACCGCCACAGCTCGCTTTATAATCCCTCAACCCCCTGCGGGAGCTCAGATATATGTTGAAACGCCTTTGGTCACACATGCAGCAATGTTGGGCTTCATACATTTCCAGAAACATCTCGCCTGATCTCCCGAGCACGTGCGTGTCGCCGCGCTTGTCATGTTTCTCGTGGAATCAGTCCAAATAGGGTCTTGTAAGCTCTATCGATACTTCGAAACACCAGAGAGCAAACCCCACGTGTTGAAAGGGGGTGAAACATACGCCTATCTAGAATACGATCCGATATTTGAACTCCATTCAGCAGCCGAAGTCAAAGCGACTCCCCCCCTGAACAATGAAGGAGTTTTTCTTCCCTGGATACTCTTGGATAGAGCATGGGCGACGGATGGAAGAAATCATTCGATGGACTCCTTGCCGCACACTTCATATTTGTGCTTACCTGTGTTCGCAGGGGAGGTCTTTGCGGTCGGCGCGAAAAACGTTTGTGCTCCGCTCCAGCAGACATCCGTTGTACACGCCCCCCGAGCTGGATAATCTTTCTGCCGCCCCGAGCTCGAGCCCGGCGGTCTCTGCAGCAGAGGAGTGAGCGGTGGCATCAATATCTGTCCTTGATCTCTACGACGTTTAGGAGCAGACGGTCCGCAGGCAGATTTACCACGCGAGGTGGTCGCCACTATGCCTTACTCGATTCAGTTCTCTCTTCTGTGCGTGACACAACACACTTATGCCAGGACTGGAAATTCGGGGGTTAAAGGTAGACCTGTCCTCTTTGCTTTCTTCACCCACACGGCGAGTTTATTGATCCCAAATCAAATATTTTCCCAACGGTCATTACGTCCGAGTGTTCCTTCAGAACGTCTCCTCAGGTTAACTTCCATCGTTTCGGTTCGACACTCGTCGTGGTTCACACAATACAGGCCGTCGAGTACTTCACTATTTAATGTTCACAGTAAGCCCATGAGCATCTCAAACAGCATAACATTTCAAGCATACTATTCGTGCATGAGAAACCAACCGTCGACGTCTATCTTCTCGCACCTTTGACCGACTGTTTGGGCACGCTCTGATCTGACAATCGCTGCCGGAACGGCGACCGATCCGGGGATCGTTCCCGGAAGCTCATTTCTATCTCCTCGACGCTGCCCAAACGAAACCTATGTCTTTCCACTACTTCCGGGTGAGCGCGTCGGACCCGCGCCGCCGGGGTATGAGATGACACCGCACTCCAATGACACCTGCACACCACGAAGCACCGTTTGAGGTGTTCCAGGAACTCGCGTTGTTCACTTCGAAGAGCGACACTAACAGCCAGCCGACATGGGATCTGAGGCATTCACCGAGTGAATC